GAGGTAGCTAGAGCAGCGTCGGGCAGGCCGGGTCGGTAACAGTGGTGGCGGTGTGGTACAGAATCAGCAGGCAGGAGGGATAAACAGGTCACAAGCCGGGTTCGTCAACAGGAGGTCAGAACGTACGGGGTTAAGCAGGAGAATGGTCAGACAAAGCCAGGGATCAGAGCAGGAGACGGACAGCAAAAGCAGGATCAGGCAGGGTCGGCAACAACAATCTACTCTCAGGAACTCAGGAACACAGATAAGACCATACGGCAATTCATTGCAGTCTGATCTTGTTTTAAATAGGGCGCCCTGATTGGCGCCAGACTCGTGCCCGCGATCGCGAATGCCGCTGCAATCGTGGGTGCCCTGGTCGCAATGCTTGCACGCTAGTGCGGCTGGGCACACCGTGCATGCGCAGATCCGCACGCAATCGCGGCAGCCGCTGGGGTCCCTGAGACAAGTACAGCGAAAGACAAATTTGCTCTACCTGGTAGTCAATCTGCAGGTAAGTACAGTCATTATAAGGGCAATTGTGTGCTCATGATAATGTAAGAGCACAGAAACAGGCAGAAGCTCTATGAACACACCCAGAAGTCCACAAAGTAAGGGATCAGTGCGATCTGCAGCCACTAGTGTTTCCATTGTCATCATCTCATAGCCACATGTGTAGCCACAAGGCCGTGTCTCAAAATTCCCTTCTTATTCTTAGAAATGGACCTGGAGATCATTGAAAGAAGAGCTACTTCTTGAGAAGCCGCAATAGCAATAGGCATTTTGTTATACATAGTGCAGCGGTCTCCAAACTGCAGCCTGGAGGCAGGATATGACCCTTCGCTTGCCTTCATTCGACCCTTGGGGCACTATTCTTCCCACCAACACCAACAAGGAGGCAAAATTCCTGTCTTTGATACCAACAATAGGGCACTATTCCTCCCACTGCCATCAATGATGGTGCACTAATCCTCCCACTGACACCAATGATGGGGCACTATTCCTCCCACTGCAATCAATGATGGTGCACTAATCCTCCCACTGACACCAATGGCGGGGCACTATTATTCTCACTGACACCAATGATGGGGTACTATTCCTCGACTGATACTGATGATGGGGCATTTGGAACTATTGCCTGGCATTCTCACCAAATGTTAAAGTATGTCCCTTCCCTGTCAAGACATTTCCAACAAGATCTTGGATTTTAGAGTATATTCGATTGAGTTCCACAGGAGCCCTGAACCACAGGGAAACGATCTTGTAATTATGTTGAGAAAATTTATTTAATTTTTATAAAATGGAGCATTACATGTTTACATTTCATAGCTCAGTTCCTTTGACACACCATTTTGGAAATCATCAGCCTATATGCCTTGGATAATCAATTTGCAAGCAGATGGAATTTTTCGTTGAACTGGAAATCCAGATCCTGGTCATCTTTGAGAACCTTATGGTGGCCAACAAAACTTTGTCCTCCAGCTCAGACAGCAGATGAGGAGAAGGCTTCTTGAGGGAACTATTCCTGAGAAAAAACTTGCACTTGTCTCTGAACAGTCTGCCAAGGCAAGGATACTTCTTCAATAGTTAATGAAGGTGAAGTCACCTACAAATACACTGGCACAAATCACAAACATGTGACCTGCCCTTGGTTTCAAGACTCTGTGGTCCTATAAAATATATACAAAGTGACATCGTGTTCCATAAAATGTCCCCATCACTGCTTACTCCAGTGGACCTTGGAATTACCTACATGATCACAGTGCTTATACATCTTTCCAGATATTCAACAGAAGTCTGTATGTTTCTAGGAATGTCCATACAAGCTCTCCAGGGATACCAGCATTTTTTTTCCAACCGTATGCAGAGCAGGAATGTAAGGCCTTCAAGGAAATCAATGCAGATCGTCCATTTATTCTATGTGGTTCTTTGTTCCTAGGTAAATAAAAAGACTGAATTGTTAAAACCTGTCCTGAACAGGCAGACTTACTATGTAAAAGTCTATCTAGTAACTAAAACCCAACAAATACAATTATTATTGTATTATGGGCAGCACAGTGGCTAAATGGTTAGCACTTCCACCTCGCAGTACTCGGGTCGTTGGTTCGAATCCCAACCATGGCACCACCTGCCTGGAATTTGCATGTTCTCCCTATGCCTGCGTGGGTTTCCTCCGGGTACTCCGGTTTCCTCCCACACTCCAAAGACATGCTGGTAGGTGAATTGGCTCCTGTCTAAATTGTCCCTAGTATGTGTATGTATGAATGTGAGTGAGTGACCTTAGATTGTACGCCCCTTGAGGGTTAGGGACTGATGTGAACATACAATATATATGTAAAGTGCTGCGTAAATTGACGGCGCTATACAAGTACCTGAAATAAATTATCCACCACAACACTTATCTTCTCAATTACTCAAACATCAGACAGATGACAGGTCTGACTAGATAGATTTAAAGCGGACAATGGTGACAGTGGAATTCCCATAGGACTAGATGAAGAACCATTCTAGAAAGGGGAATCAGGAAGATCAACTCACAGGAACGAGAATGACAGGAAATGGTGGGAAATCTCCCCAGTGGGGACAGACAGAGGATCTCGTTCTTCCAAACTCCATAGATAGTCAAGAGGAAAAAGTTTAAAATCTAAAAAAAGGGGGAAAAAATCCCGTTGTTTCCGTGGAACCCAAAACCTGCAACTAATCCAGAGGATGGCAAAACAAAACAGTTTATAATCCCAATTAGCTTTGGTGTGAAAAGATATTTAATCCAGCCATAAATGGTGTGATTTTCTTGGGGGAATCCCTCCCATGGAGCTATTGTGTTCTCCCGGTGGGAGGAGCTGTCCCTGCCAGGAGAACACAGTGATTTCTGTTGGTGGCTAAAAAAGTCACTAGCAATAATTGCATGTAAAACCTGACAGGCTGGTCGTACCCAAGTTGATCGATTGATCAACCTGGGTACCTTTAGCCTGCTGATACATGGTTCAAATCTCGGATGGTCCCTGCTGAACTGGCTGAGATTCTAACCGTCTATGGCTGGCTTTACTGATCTCCAAAGACAATTAGATACATCCCAGAACAACAATCTACAGTTATTTCCATATGGATATTAAAGTGTCACTAAACCCCGGACCCTGCATTCACTATATCCGCTCTCCCCAGACCCCGCATTCACTATATCCGCTCTCCCCGGACCCCGCATTCACTATATCCGCTCTCCCCGGACCCCGCATTCACTATATCCAGTCTCCCCGGACCCCGCATTCACTATATCCGCTCTCCCCGGACCCCGCATTCACTATATCCGCTCTCCCCGGACCCCGCATTCACTATATCCGCTCTCCCCGGACCCCGCATTCACTATATCCGCTCTCCCCGGACCCCGCATTCACTATATCCGCTCTCCCCGGACCCCGCATTCACTATATCCAGTCTCCCCGGACCCCGCATTCACTATATCCGCTCTCTCCCGGACCCCGCATTCACTATATCCGCTCTCCCCGGACCCCGCATTCACTATATCCGCTCTCCCCGGACCCCGCATTCACTATATCCGCTCTCCCCGGACCCCGCATTCACTATATCCGCTCTCCCCGGACCACGCATTCACTATATCCGCTCTCCCCGGACCCCGCATTCACTATATCCGCTCTCCCCGGACCCCGCATTCACTATATCCGCTCTCCCCGGACCCCGCATTCACTATATCCGCTCTCCCCGGACCCCGCATTCACTATATCCGCTCTCCCCGGACCCCGCATTCACTATATCCGCTCTCCCCGGACCCCGCATTCACTATATCCGCTCTCCCCGGACCCCGCATTCACTATATCCGCTCTCCCCGGACCCCGCATTCACTATATCCGGTCTCCCCGGACCCCGCATTCACTATATCCGGTCTCCCCGGACCCCGCATTCACTATATCCGGTCTCCCCGGACCCCGCATTCACTATATCCGGTCTCCCCGGACCCCACATTCACTATATCCGGTCTCCCCGGACCCCGCATTCACTATATCCGGTCTCCCTCGACCCGGCATTCACTATATCTGGTCTCCCACAGTACACACAACATGTAATTGCAATTATTTTAGTAAATATAAACTGCATCAGCAGTATACAGCAGTCTTGTGACTTCTATTAGTGTCCAGCAGAGTACTGGTTAAAGCTTGTAAGAGGATTTTTAATTCTCCCCTGACTGTCCTATGAGGCTGCAGGACTCCTGGCTCTCTGGACAGCGCTGATTGGCACTGTGCTGATCACATGCACACTTCCAAGAAAAAAAAAAAAAAACCTCTAGAGGTACACACCAAACTGCATGTGCAGCTTGCCCCCAAGGCTCTGTTCTATCAGAAGATGGATTGGGGACAGTAGAAGAAGGGAAGGATCAGAGAAGACAGGATAAAACAGCCTTTTTACACAATGCAGATGATTAACCCCTTAGGTCCCACAGTGAGTATAACAAGCATGCTTTACTGCATCTACAGACTGATTGTACTGTTGTGGGTTTAGTAACACCTTAATAGACGTTTAGCTTTTTTTAATTCGTTTTAAAAAGTTCTAAAGAAGTTCTGCTTTAAAAAGTTGGCAATAGAGCTAGATATGAAAAACATATTTTGTGATATTATTCACAAGTACACTGTATTGTTAAATGGGACAATGGATCAGTTAATAGAAGGGAAAACTCATATGCTTGGGAAAAGCGCATGAATGGCATTGGAACCTGGAATCCCGAAATAGTCTCTCTGTCCCCATTGGAGAGATTCTGACAGGAACTGAGGGCATATCCTCAATACCATCATAGAAGGTAATGCCTGATAACTTTTTTTTACAGCCTGGTTAGATGGTACATTCTGTACGATATCCTTTAGGTTTACCAAAGGAAATCATGTTAGGACCTACCTATTCAATCCACTGAATCTGTAAGTATGCAGGCAGATCCTTGTACTACATAGACGTTGGTAGATCTGAAGGAGACTATACAGACTGTAACATGTACTGTGAGCTACGGTTCTTCTACCTCAGATTACGGTTTTGCAGTGTTGGGGCCATGATGTCCTCATCTCCTTGTTGAAGTAGATATAAAGCCAGGTTATGAAGGGGAAGATTGAAATGGAGATGGCGATCAGAAGCCTCAGGCCACCCACGGACTGCCTGGAAGACATTTGGTGTGATATGGGAATGTGCTCTATACAATGTTACAGGTCAGTACTTAGCAGACAGGGCCACCATAGTCATGAAGGTCATAAAAGAAAAAAAAAAAAGACACTCACCTCCCAGAATTCCGGCAGAGGAGAAGCCACAATACGATAATGGCCAATCCAGAGAGCTCCCTGGGGAGACAAATGCAAATAAGCTGACACCTGGTTGTATGAATACCACAGGAGGCCTCTCCTGGCACCCATCTGACACTAGAAGGATTGGTTAGTGGTCCCAAATCTAATTTCATGAAAGGTCTGGAAGTGTAGGGAATACTGTAGACCTGCTCTGAATGCCCCCTGGCCTTTGTAGGGAAGACAGGGAACCAGAGACTGTATTCAGAAGTACATTCAATCCTCCAGAGGTACTGTATGTTTCACAGAAGAAAATATAAATACCATGCGATCATAACAGTACATACTTACAGGTTTGCTGAGGGGTCAGGTGTCTTCAGGCCATCAAGTGTCTTCAGGCCATCAGGTGCCTTCAGGCTATGAGGAGTCAGGTGTCTCCAGGCCAATAAGGCTTCTTCAGGCTATCAGGGGTCTTCAGGCTAGGAGGGGGGGGGGGGGGAAATCAGGCGTCTTCAGGCTAGGGGGGGGGGAGGGGGGTCAGGCGTCTTCAGGCTAGGAGGGGGGTCAGGCGTCTTCAGGCTAGGAGGGGGGTCAGGCGTCTTCAGGCTAGGAGGGGGGTCAGGCGTCTTCAGGCTAGAAGGGGGTCAGGGGTCTTCAGGCTAGAAGGGGGTCAGGGGTCTTCAGGCTATGAGGGGACAGGGGTCTTCAGGCTATGAGGGGACAGGGGTCTTCAGGCTATCAGGCGTCTTCAGGCTATGAGGGGACAGGGGTCTTCAGGTTATCAGGCGTCTTCAGGCTATGAGGGGACAGGGGTCTACAGGCTATCAAGCGTCTTCAGGCTATGAGGGGACAGGGGTCTTCAGGCTATCAGGCGTCTTTAGGTTATGAGGGGTCAGGCGTCTTCAGGCTGTCAGGGGTCAGGCGGTTTTGTCCATCATGGCTATGACTGCCATAACACTGACACTAACAACTTTGATCTCAGTTACTTACTGTTATTTCTGGCTTATATAATCTTTGTGTTAAATTTTATTTTTTTTGCACTCAACAAATATAATTGTGCAAATCATTGATGACTGTATACAATATATTATAAGATTGACCCAATATATTTGAAGATTCTAATGTACTTTAAAAACAAAATGCACTAAATTCAGGCTGGATTGTACAAAAATGTTAGTTTTGTACCACGTCTGTAACCAGTATAACAATATACAATGTGAGGAACAAGAATAGCGCTGGAAAACCCTGGTTACCATATGAAAAATGATTTGTATCCGTACTTCCCTCCAGAGCAGGACTGGATGTTAGGTGACTGCCTATCATGGCAATGCACACTATGGTGCTGGAAGATGCCCATCTGTGAGGACCTACCTGCCCTCTTCCTCGTGGAGTATGTTTTTCTTGCCATATAGAAGTAAAAAAGCTAGCAGACAGGAAGCTCCAACCAGACAGACTAAGGAATGGAGGTCCGAGAGCGCCTTCCAGATCACATGACCTGCACAACAAATCAGAATAATGTCACGTTAGAATGTGGGCAACAGAGGTCCCAGTGATGATGGACTTTATCCTCAGTCGCTTCAAACCAACCTCCACCACAATTTGGAGACTGAAACATCTCTGAGAATTTGCCGTTTGTGGTTTTAGAGAAGTAAAAGCCAGAGAGCCAAAAAGCATCGTACCGAGTGCCAATTTTTATAATGTATTTTCAGATAGAGTAGGGGATGGTTAGAAACCTTGGTCAAGCTTTTTGTTTTGTGAACGTGTCCCATTGAAGACATTTCCCTTCATTTCCTATCCTGGAGATACTACAAGAAGGAGAGGAAATCTCTTCAAAGTGGGAGGAAATCCCTTATTAGTTGTCACCTCATCCCATTTTCCTATGGCACCCCTAAACTTCTTGCTTTGCCGTCACTTTCTCATTGTCTCGGTATCATTGGAAAGACAGAATGAATTTTCCCAGCAGAGACACATACTGTACAGCAACAGTATCTTGACATAAGGTCCAATCCTTCCACCCTCCATCCAAAGCCAAGAAAAAAAAAGGTTTGGGCTTTAGATAATGCACCTTCTGTTCTGTTCAGTTCCTGCACATATTCTCTGAGAAAAAAAAAAGCTCTGGGGAGGAGAAATGGCAAATTTATACTTCTGTCTGAATCACTGGGACAGGAAATGAGAGGAAATATACTCAGTGGGGACACACAGCTGATGGAGGTTCCACACCGTCCTTACTATGTCTGGAGTAGAGATTTGGTTGAAAGTCATTTATGATGTTTATGAACGCCTTGTGATGTGGAGACCAGCATGTCTTGTGTGGTTTTTTTCAACTCTATAAAGACAATTACCAGGAAGTGGCTCATGTGAGAATCTGATAAAAGGTTTAATGGTAAGGTAACCAGATCGGATTGGTTAGTGGTCCCCCCCCATCACAATCACCGAGCAATCATATCGAATGCAAAAGTCCAATACATGAAATCATATGATGCGATTTTAATTTAATATACACACCAGCCACTTTATTAGGTCCACCTAGAAAATCTCCCACACACCATGACACCACCAGCCTGAACCGATGATGGCGGGATGGATCCATGCTTTCATGTTGTGTACGCCATATTCTGACCCTACCATCTGAGTAGATCAAAGAATCCCCCCATAGACCAAAGAATCCCCTGCGCTCAAGAGTGGTGTACTGATGATGGATGAATGTCAGGTCCTTAGCACTCCAAATGCCGGCACAGGCTTTGCTGCCCTCTAAGGGTCGGTGAAACCAACGAAAATCACTGTAAAACAAGGGAAGAAGGGCGCACCAGCCTAGTGAAACTTTAGTAGTATAAAAATAGATATATACTCACAAACAATTGTGATAGAAAAGAGTTTATCAAAAGTCCCAAGCCACCTAGTCAACTCCCAAACCAAGGGAGGACCCTCCAGATGGCTAATGCGTTTCAAGGAGAGCTCCTCTTTCTCAGAGCCAGTCACTTCACTGGGTATATGGAAGGGTTTACAGACACTTTGTTGAAAGGAGGCTGGGAAAAGAATTGTTCTCCGTGTGCTCCGTTCATGCCATACAAGTGCATTGGATAGAAATGCAGCATATCTATACTCACCGCCCAGCTTGCTAGTGCCAAGAAAATCTCCCCCACACCATGACACCACCACCACCAGCCTGAACCATTGATACAAGGATGGATCCAAACTTTCATGTTGTTTACGCCAAATTTTGACCCTACCATCTGAATTTCACAGAAACCAGTCTGCCCATTCTCCTCTGACATCAACAAGGCATTTCCCTCCACACAACTGCCACTCACTGGATATTTTCTCTTTTTCTGACCATTTTCTGTAAACCCTAGAGATGGTTGTACATGAAAATCCCAGTAGATCAGCAGTTTTTGAAACTCAGACCAATCCGTCTGGCACCAACAACCATGCCACGTTCAATGTCACTTAAATCCCCTTTCTTCCCCATTCTGATGCTCAATTTGAACTTAATCAAGTTGTCTTCACCACATCTACCGTACATGCTTAAATGTATTGAGTTGGTGCCATGTGATTGGCTGATTACCAATTTTTTGTTGCCAAGCAATTGAACAGGTGTACCTAATAAAGTGGCCGGTGAGTGTATATGGGTGATGGAGTTCAGTCCCTGTGATGTTGCATCTCTTACCCGGTATGTCTGGATTTATGCTGAGCAGAAGAATGAGACTGGCTGGGATCAGATAGATCACCTGCAATGAAGAAAGCAGAAGATTGTTTCATTTTCATTTACCCTAGGTTCACACTTTCAGATTTGTGGGTTTCAGTGCATTTTCCAGTTTGCAGAAACATACTACAGTCCATATAACAAGATTTCCTATAAATCTAGTTCACATCTGTGCTTTTAGAGCCGATGCGGATTTTTGAAAGGGTCGGGGACTTTTTTTTTTTTCCGCAGCAGATTGCTTTTTGCATGTAATAGACTTCAATGGCACTGTTATGATCCGCCAGGTGGTGCCTCTGGCAGCCTACTTGACAGACCTACCCAAAGCGTGGAGTCTAAGTCCCGGTCTGTGCTTTCACCAGGGCCCCTGATGGTGGGGATGGACTTGAAACAGACCAGGACCAGGTCACGACCTCTGAGCAGGCCCACCAGTGGCAGAGGGAACCTCCGGGGATGTATAGGTACCGGGAGAGCCAGATGTGAGGAGGCCGGCAGGACCTAGCAGGATAGGTCACGAGCAGTGGTCCCGTGGGGTAGGCGAGGTACAGAATCGGCAGGTGGAGAATCGTCAGGTCACACGCAGGGTCAGCAGGATAAGTCAGTCCGTAGATAGGTCAAAACAAGCCGGGAGTCAAGAGGGGAGAAGGCAGAGTAGTCAGGACAATCCGGGTCAAACACAGGAGAAGGCAGCGTAATCAGGGTCAATAACTTAGGTACAGGACTCAGGAACACAGATAGACTTTGCGGCAATATTGACAGTGCAGGGCATCTTTAAATATTGCGCCCTGCACTGTCATTGGCCGTCCAGGACGCGCCCCCCCCCGGGCTGTCATTGGCCACCCGAGGCGCGCCCGCGGCTCCTACTGCGCATGCGCGGCGTCCTGTCATCTGCGGCTCGCCAGGACCTGGTGCTTGTGTCCCGGCGTGTGCCGTCGCCAGTGCGCATGCGCTAGCCGACAGGACGCCGCGCTTCCTGACAGGCATGGTTTTTTTTTGCATTTGTGTGTTGTGTTTTGTGTGACTTTAAGCTGGTTGTTAGGGAGTGGGCGGCTGCCACTTCCTTAACAACCGATGTGTGATCAACTGTCAGTGGGGTGCCCCACTGGCAGCTGAATACACTGCTCAAAAAAAATTAAAGGAACACTTTGAAAACCCATCAGATCTCAATGGGGAGAAATCTCCTACTGGATCTCTATACTGACATGGACGGGTGATGTGTTAGGAAGGTAAGGATGCCCCATCGTTTGATGGAAATGAAAATGATCGACCTACAGAGGACTGAATTCAAAGACACCCCAAAAACCAAAGTGAAAAAATGATGCAGCAGGTGAGTCCATTCTGCTGAAATGTCATTGCATCAACTCAGAATGGTCCCCAGTAATTTGTATGGCCCCCAGGTGCTTGTTTGCATGCCTGACAATGTCGGGGGAGGCTCCTAATGAGACCACAGATGGCATCCTGGGGGATTTCCTCCCAGATCTGGACCAGAGCATCATTGAGCTCCTGGACAGTCTGAGATGCAACCCCGGTGGCGTCAGATGGACCGAAACATGACATCCCCGAGGTGTTCTATTGGATTTAGGTCAGGAGAGCGTGGGGGCCATTCAATGGTATCAATTCCTTTATCCTCCAGGAACTGCCTGCATACTCTTGCCACATGAACATAGGGTCTGACAATGGGTCCAAGGATTTCATCCCGATACCTAATGGCAGTCAGGGTGTCATTGTCTAGCCTGTAGAGGTCTGTGTGTCCCTCCATTGATATGCCTCCCCAGACCATCACTGACCCACCACCAAAACAGTCATGCTGAACCATGTTACAGGCAGCAGAACGTTCTCCACGGCTTCTCCAGACCCTTTCACGTCTGTCACATGTGCTCAGGGTGAACCTGCTCTCATCTGTGAAAAGCACAGGGCGCCAGTGGTGGACCTGCCAATTCTGGTGTTCAATGGCAAATGCCAATCGAGCTCTATGGTGTGCCGGGCAGTGAGCACAGGGCCACGAGAGGACGTCGGGCCCTCAAGCCACCCTCATGAAGTCGGTTTCTGATTGTTTGGTCAGAGACATTCACACCAGTGGCCTGCTGGAGGTCATTTTGTAGGGCTCTGGCAGGGCTCATCCTGTTCCTCCTTGTACAAAGGAGCAGATACCGGTCCTGCTGATGGGTTAAGGACCTTCTACGCTCCTGTCCAGCTCTCCTAGAGTAACTGCCTGTCTCCTGGAATCTCCTCCATGCTCTTGGGACTGTGCTGGGAGTCACAGCAAACCTTCTGGAAATGTCACGTATTGATGTGGCATCCTGGAGGAGTTGGACTGCCTGTGCAACCTCTGTAGGGTCCAGGTATGGCCTCATGCTACCAGGAGTGACACTGACCCTAGCCAAATGCAAAACTAGTGAGAAACAGTCAGAGAAGATGAGTAGGGAAAAAAATGCCTGTAAAACCATTCCTGTTTTGGGGGTTGTCTCATTGTTGCCCATCTAGTGCACCGTTTATTTCATTAACACTAAAGCAGCTGAAACTGATTAACAACCCCCTCTGCTACTTACCTGACCAGATCAATATCCCAGGAGTGTCATTGACTTGATGCTAGACTCTGGTTAAAAAGTCTTCCTTTCATTTTTTTGAGCAGTGTGTAAACAAACCTATTGCTGACAATATCAGGTGACCCCACCTCCTTGTGACGTCTTCAACCGAGGCACGCTGGGTCAATGACATCACAAAAGGAGTGACATCACCATGGACCCCCCACAACCACAGCCCAGGGTTATGGGAAGAGGCCCTTGTCCTTATCAACATGGCGACGAGCTGTCCAAAAGCACCGCCCCCCATGTTGAGAGATGTGGCCTGGTATGTTTCAGGAGGGGAGGGGGTGGCGCACACTCGACCCTGCCCTTTCCTGACCTGTTGGGATGCATGTTCGGATAAGGGTCTGGTATCAAACTGGGGGGACACCACGCCATAAAATCCATACCAGACCTGAAGGTCCTGGTATGCAATGGGGGGGGGGGCACTCCACGCTGCTTTTTTCCCAATTTTTAAATTTTCTTATTTGCTGGCAATAGGTTTGCTTATATTCAGCTATCACACAGCTTATGACTCATTGGTTGTCAAGGATGTGGCGGCTGCCCGCTCCTTAACCACTCGCCCTCCTGAGGATTCCCCCCCCCCCTTCCTGACCAGGCCATTTTCTGCGTTACAGCGCTGCGTTACTTTAACTGACCACTTGCGCGGTCATGCAACGCTGCAACAAATATAATTTACGGGCGCTGGCGAGTAATCACCATTAATTGACAGCTGCGGACGCGAATTGCGGCGCGGGTAGGCGTGCGCCCTACACAGAAATGCAATATAAGTGAATATATACGTGATTTTGCGCTGCCATGCCACCCTGTTGCAGTATTTCTGCTATAGGGCAGACGGGAAGCGATTATTAACAACCATGTTGTTTACAGGTTAAGGACGCTGGATGCAGGCAGCCGCCTGCTCCTTGACAACCAGGTAAAGTCAAACAAAGCATAAAATGCACAAAAATACATCCAAAACGGGTGTGAAAATGACTCAATGTTTATTAGCTTCATAATAATTTATTAGAATCATACTGATGATGGTCCAACATTGACAGGATCCGGGAAATATGATTAGACACCTCAAACATGCACAACAGGATTATCTAAACACACACACAAAAAAAAAAAATGATTGATGGTTGGATGGGAGAGTCTATACAATGTGACCCCAATAAATGTAAAGTTCCGTGTGCTCCTACACACAATATACACAGCACTTTGGAGGAGTCCAGAAAGTCTCATGATGGACAGAAGTATAAATCTCTGGGGGTTAAGCTTGCTATACATTATATTGCCCAGACTACTTCATTATGTACACTGTGATATACATTACATTCTCATGGATGTTGCACTGTGTATGCTAATCTATACAGTACATGCACCAGACAGCTGAACTCTGCACACTGTTATCCTTTACATTCCCCAGACTGTTGCACTACGTACACTGTGCTATAAATTACATTGTCTACACTGTTGCACTGTAAATGTTGTGCTTTGCATTACATTCTTCAGGCTACTGTACGCTGTTCTATACAGTCCCCAGACTGCTGAGCCATGTATGCTGTGCTATACATTACATTCTCTGAAATGCTGCACTGTGTATGCTGTGCTATACATTACATTCTCTGAACTGCGGCACTGTGTATGCTGTGCTATACATTACATTCTCTGAACTGCTGCACTGTGTATGCTGTGCTATACATTACATTCTCTGAACTGCGGCACTGTGTATGCTGTGCTATACATTACATTATCTGAACTGCTGCACTGTGTATGCTGTGCTATACATTACATTCTCTGAACTGCTGCACTGTGTATGCTGTGCTATACATTACATTCTCTGAACTGCTGCACTGTGTATGCTGTGCTATACATTACATTCTCTGAAATGCTGCACTGTGTATGCTGTGCTATACATTACATTCCAAACAACAAGAGAGAAAAGTTCCCAGCTCCACTTGTCAGCCAGCCAGTTTGCAAACAAACCGAATTAACCTGTCTAACAGTATGCGTTACAAACAGGTGTTTAGTTAGCACACATTTGCAAATACATGCGTAAGCTACAGAGCCTCATCACGGCACCCCGATATTTTGTAGTCCTAACTCTCCAAATTTTGAGAGCCCCCATAGTAGAGGCACAAGTATTTGATGGATAGACTAAGGGCAGGTGGACCTGAGGGAGCCCACCCCTCCTTAAAGGTACAGGAGCGCACTGGACACCCAGCATGTAGCACAATGGCTGCTAGGGTGTCCAGTGCGCCTCCTCGACCAACAAGTCAACAGTACAAAAAATGGCCACTGCCCCAGTGTTGATTGACATGCGTCGACCTCTGCACACTGTGCTGTTTATTTCATTCCCCAAACTGCTGCATTATGTACACTGTGCTATATATTACATTCCAAAGACTTGCTGAACTCTGCACACTGTGCTGTTTATTACATTCCCCAAACTGCTGCATTATGTACACTGTGCTATACATTACATTGTTTAGACTGCTGAACTGTGTACACTGTGCTATACATTATGTTCCTCAGACTGTTGCACTTTGTGCAGTGTGATAAACATTACATTCCCCAGACTTCTGAACTATGCGAGCTGTGCTATACATTACATTCTCCAGACTATGTATGCTAGGTTGTACATCTTTAGCAATCTGGTATTTCATCTCATCCAATGAACAGGCACGCTTTTGCTAGTTTTTGCAGATACACTTACAATCCACATGCCGGCATCGGGATCATTGATCTGTAAGATAAAATACAAAGTGTTGGGTGTCAGGAGAGGCCGTTGTATAGCATAATGAATAAATCTACAATTTTCGCATTCTTGGGACAAGACAGAGAAGGAGTCATACAATCTGGACAGGCATTGAGCGGGGCAGACTTCAGACAATGAAATAATTGGAGCAATCACAGAATTGGACTGACCTGTAGCCAATCAGCACAATAAGCAGGCCACAGGAAGGATAGGAGGAGCCATAACCACATAATCCAGAAACTGCTGATGGGTTCTGGTGCTGTCTGGGGATTTTTATGGAGACAATACACGCTTCAATAAAGATTTTTTTTTTTTGTCCACCAATCTCTCCAGAATAATTGATAACCCATTCAATCGATATGCCACACACAGGGATGTTGATTTTCATTGATAGCTAGAAGATGTGACTGTAAATTATCAACTGAATCTATACATTTCCCATGTAATCTCTTAATCTGATTGGTTGATAATGATTTCATTCATGAGTGCATAAACTCTGCTGAACTCTGTGTTGTCCTTTAGATTCCCTGACAGCTGCATTATGTACACTGTGCTATACATTACATTCACCAGACTGCTGCATTATGTACACTGTGTTATACATTGCATTCACCAGACTGCTGCATTATGTACACTGTGCTATACATTGCATTCACCAGACTGCTGCATTATGTACACTGTGCTATACATTGCATTCTCCAGACTGCTGCATTATGTACACTGTGCTATACATTGCATTCACCAGACTGCTGCATTATGTACACTGTGTTATACATTGCATTCACCAGACTGCTGCATTATGTACACTGTGCTATACATTGCATTCACCAGACTGCTGCATTATGTACACTGTGTTATACATTACATTCTCCAGACTGCTGCATTATGTACACTGTGCTATACATTGCATTCACCAGACTGCTGCATTATGTACACTGTGCTATACATTGCATTCCCCAGACTGCTGCATTATGTACACTGTGCTATATACATTGCATTCTCCAGACTGCTGCATTATGTACACCGTGTGCTATACATTGCATTCACCAGACTGCTGCATTATGTACACCGTGCTATACATTGCATTCACCAGACTGCTGCATTATGTACACCGTGCTATACATTGCATTCACCAGACTGCTGCATTATGTACACCGTGCTATACATTGCATTCACCAGACTGCTGCATTATGTACACTGTGCTATACATTACATTATCCAGACTGCTGCATTATGTACACTGTGCTATACATTACATTCTCCAGACTGCTAAAATCTGGACATTGTGTTGTCCATTCCACTCCCCAGGCTGCTGCACTATGTACACTGAGCTATACATTACATTCCCCAGACTGCTGCATTATGTACACTGTGCTATACATTCTACACCCATATCTACTGTCTCTTATAAACACAGAAGTGCGGCTGAAGTGACAGCGCCATCAGCTCCCACAAAACCCCCCCACCCCTGTACTCGCCGCCCGATCCCGCAGAACCCCCCCACCTCTGTACTCGCCGCCCGATCCCGCAGAACCTCCCTACCTCTGTACTCGCCATCCGCTCCCGCAGGACCCCCCCCCACCTCTGTACTCGCCATCCGCTCTCCCGCAGGACCCCCCCCACCTCTGTACTCGCCATCCGCTCCCGCAGAAACCTCCCTACCTCTGTACTCGCCATCCGCTCCCACAGAACCCCCCCACCTCTGTACTCACTGTGGGACAGGGAAGGAACAGATATCTGCGGTTGCAGGGTGCAGTGTGTTTAGGGGCGGGTGCAGTGTGCAGTGTGTTTAGGGGCGGGTGCAGTGTGTTTAGGGGCGGGGCATCTCCTCCTGCAGCCTAATGCATGGAAGCCAATGCCCCAGGGGTGATCACCGGCCAGTGTAGAAGAGGTGGAGCGGTGAGTAAGTGCGCTTGGTGCAATGTGTAGGAAGATAGGACCCGAAACGGGAGTTACTATAGAGGGGGGGGCCGGCTGCGGACAGCTGTGTTTTGCAAAGCTAGCAAACCATATGAGGGCAGTGGAGGGGGAAGGTGAGCCGCAGTCAGGTGTTGCAGAGGTAAGTTGAGTCAGATGAGTTGCAGACAGGGTGCAGAGGTGAGCTGCGGCTGGGGGGGGGGGGGGGTGTGCAGAGGTGAGCTGAGTTGCAACCCACCTTTGCACCCCCCAGCCACTGCTCACATCGGCGCCCCATCTGCGGCTCACCTCTGCAGCACCTGACTGCAGCTCACAACTGTCATCAACCGGCCCTCTCCATAGTAACCCTCATCCCCAACTGCCTGCAGCTCACCTCTGCGCCCCCTGTCCACACCTGGACATTTAAAAAATAAGACCTACCCCAAAAATAAGACCTAGTGTGTTTTTTTGAGCCCAAAAAAATATAAGACAGTGTCTTATTTTCAGGGAAACACGATATGTACACTGTGCTATACATTCCATTACCCAGACTGCTGCATTATGTACACTGTGCTATACATTCCATTACCCAGACTGCTGCATTATGTACACTGTGCTATACATTCCATTACCCAGACTGCTGCATTATGTACACTGTGCTGTACATTACATTCCCAGACTGCTGCATTATGTACACCGTGCAGTATACATTGCATTCTCCAGACTGCTGCATTATGTATTATGTACACTGTGCTATACATTACATTCTCCAGACTGCTGCATTATGTACACTGTGCTGTACATTACATTCCCTAGACTGCTGCATTATGTACACTGTGCTGTACATTCCATTCTCAGACTGCTGACTGCTGCATTATGTACACTGTGTGCTGCTGCATTACATTACATTCTCCAGACTGCTGCATTATGTACACTGTGCTGTACATTACATTCCCCAGACTGCTGCATTATGCACACTGTGCTGTACATTACATTCTCCAGACTGCTGCATTCGGCAGCCCAATACTTCTGACCATGTAGTGAATGTCTATATATATATCCCATAATTTCCTATCATCCAATAACAATCTGTAGGTTACAATGTTGCAGAATCATCTCACCTGGACATAAGCTGCCAGAGCAAAAAACATGGACATCAGGAGATTGCACCCCCTCCAGAGTCTCAGCTGATACTCTGCACGCAGGATGGGGCCCAGGGACCCCTTGCCTGTCCCCCCTGCAGTCCTCTCCATGGTCCCTTGTCCTGGCTGTGCACAGGGAGGGAAGCAGCAGCCTGTATGCAGATTGTGTTCCTGCTTCTCATTCGCTGACACATATCCTGCCTGTCACAAAGCCCCACCCCCTGTGTCATAAGCCCTCCTATCACCATTTCCTCTACGCCACCATTTAACTCATTCATGCCTAAATACCAAACTTTTTTTTTTTTTTTTAACTTTTCTTTCCCTTTATTGTCTGTATATTTTTCCATGATAACATTACAGTATTTGTTCTCGTTTTGGATGGAGTGGAGGGATTAGACCGCCTGTCGGGGTTTTTATTGCTGTCCATGTCCCTGTTAGGCTTGTTTTACACCTAGTGCGACTTTTCATGCGCCCTTAAAGTCACATGACAAGTCACATCCAGATGATTTCAATGGCACCCGTTGAAATCAGTGCGACTTAAAGTTGCAGCGACTTTGAAAAGGTGCCTGCACTACTTTGATCCAGAAAATGTAAAGTCGGATCCAGGGGCGGACTGACCATTTGGAAACTTGGGCACTGCCCGAGGGCCCGGGGTCAGTAGGGGGCCCCATGAGATGCCCCTTGGTACCTTTTTCATAGGCTTTTTTGAGTTTGGGCAAGGACACAGGGGCCCCATGATCTCCTATTGCCCGGGGGCCCCATGAGTTGTCAGTCCGCCCCTGGTCGGATCAAAGTCGTACGCTTAGGCTCCATTCACATGTATGTGACTTGTCATGTGACTTTGGGGTCCAAAGTTTGCATGACAATTCACCCCCGCCACCATGTTTCCCAATGAGTTCCATTCATATCTGTGCGTCTTCAAGTTGCAGCGACCTCAAAGTAGTTCCTGCACTACTTTGGTCCAAAAAATGTAAAGTCAGATCAAAGTCACACGCTTAGGCTTCATTCACTCTTATGCGACTTGTCATGCGACTTTGGGGTCCAAAGTCGCATAAAAAGTCACCCCCCGCCATGTTTCCCAATGGGTTCCATTCACATCTGCCCGACTTCAAGTTGCAGCGACTTCAAAGTAGTTCCTGCACTACTTTGGTCCAGAAAATGTAAAGTCGGATCAAAGTCGCACGCTTAGGCTTCATTCACACTTATGCGACTTGTCATGTGACATTGGGGTCCAAAGTCGCATGACAAGTCCCCCCCCGCCATGTTTCCCAATAGGTCCAATTCATATCTGTGCGACTTCAAGTTGCAGTGACTTCAGTGTAGTTCTTGCACTGCTTTGGTCCGACTTTTATGCGACTTGAGGGCAAACTCTCCAAAGTGAAAAGTTGCACCTGAATGTTGTACTTGCGACTTATGTGCAACTTTGTACAGCAGAAGCAATTATTCTTGGTCAAAGCCAAAGTCGCACCAAAGTTGCACTCATCCAAAGTTACATCAAAGTCGCCCCAAAGTCGCAGCAAAGTTGCATTATAGTTGCGTAAAGTCGCAGTGAAAATTGTACGATTTTGAAGTTGCACAAGTCTGGATGGAGCCTAAGGGTCAATTCACACTTGTGCGACTTTGTGTAATTTTCATTGCAACTTTACAGTGTGACTTGATGTGAGTTTGATGCGACTTTGGACAAGTGCGACTTTGGCTTTGACCAAGGATGATCGTTTGTGCAGTACAAATTCGCACAAAAAGTCGCATGTACACCATTCAGGTGCAATTTTCATTTTCATGTGACTTTGGAGGGATTACATTGAAGTCTATGGCTCTCAAGCTGCATGAATGTCGGACCAAAGTAGTGCAGGAACTACTTTGAAGTCACACAGATATGAATGGTACCCACTGGGAAACATGGACCAGCAGTTGTGGGGGGGGGGGGGTGACTTGTCATGTGACTTCGAACCCCAAAGTCACATCCAGGGGCGGACTGACAACTCATGGGCCCCGAGGCAATAGGGGATCATGGGGCCCCTGTGTCCTTGCCCAAACTCATAAAAGCCTATGAAAAAGGTACCAGGGGCATCTCATGGGGCCCCCTACTGACCCAGTGCCCGAGCTTCCAAATGGTCAGTCCGCCCCTTGTCACATCACAAGTCACACCAGTGTGAATGGGCTCTAAATCATGAGAATAAAAAACATCAAATGAAGATGTCACCACCCAGGGAGGATGGATCCAAAAGGCGTGGAATCCAGAGCTACTACACGAGAAGGGGGAGAAGCAAGTGACAGTTGCTGGGGCCACAGATGTGGATCTCATGGTGTGACCAGGGGCGGAATGACCATTTGGAAACTCGGGCACTGCCCGAAGGCCCAGGGTCAGTAGGGGGCCCCATGAGATGCCCCTGGTACCTTTTTCATAGGCTTTGTTGAGTTTGGGCAAGGACACAGGGGCCCCATGATCCCCTATTGCCCGGGGGCCCCATGAGTTGTCAGTCCGCCTCTGGGTGTGACAGTTCTTGAAAGAGTATCCTCCAGGATTTAAGAATGGTCAAAGAACCTCCAGGAGAAGCATAGAGATGAGGTGCCCCAATGCGACTTGAACAGCAGTCCAGGCTGACATCCCTCCAGATCAGAATGGCAGTGCCAAGGCTAAGATGCGGATGGCTTGAGCTGCCTAGTCTGTCCCCAGGATTCAGGTGTATTGGTAGCTGGAAGCTCGGGTAATAAATGCACGTCATTTGCAGGTAAAAAAAAAGTGCATTTATTAATTCCTTTATTCCTGATCCTGGAGAGCATTGCAGCTGAGATGTCAATCTTCTGCAGAATCTCAGTATCTGCCTCTACCTCCCAGTACTGAACTACAAGCTGTCTGTCGCAGTGCCAGATGGTATTTGTAGTTCATTCATTCACAGATAGCTGAGTGGGTGGAGCCTGCTGTCACAACAGAGGATGAGGGAGGTGTGGGAAGGTGCTCTTTGGTAACATGTTATACCCCAAGTACAGCTCAATCTCAGTCTGAGTGAGTCCCGGGAAGACAGTCCCATGAATTCTGAGCCCCGTGAAGCCTGAGTCCCGGGAAGTCTGAGTCCCGGGAAGACAGTCCCATGAATTCTGAGCCCTGTGAAGCCTGAGTCACGGGATGATTGAATCTCGGGAAGTCTGAGTCATGGAAAGTCCCGGGAAGCCTCGGTCCCATGTAGTCCTGAGAGTCCCATGATGGCTGGGTCCGTCATTTTCTTTTTTTGGATAGATTGGAGAGAGATTAGAATCTCTGTCAGTTTTTATTGCTGTCTGTGTCCCCATTAGGGACATGCACCCTATTTGCCCTTTCAACAACAGTGAAAGAAAATCTCAAATTTTGGGTTAACACCAGAACAGTAATAAAAGGGAAATCTTCCAATGGGGACACTAGTTCTGGTGACACCCAGGGAGGGATTGCCTCACTTTGGGGGATTTCCTCTGACTTCCTGTTTTGGCTATGGGACAGGAAGGAAGGGAAAATCTCCCCAATGGGGCACAGACGGCAAAAAACATACAGGGGTTATAACCCTCCTTTACGCTATCCAAACTGAAAGAAGAAAAAAAAAAGTTTTGCCTTTAGTTCTACTTTATTATGGCGTTCGTGGGAACATGTTTTTTTTATTTGGTAAAGATCAGTTTTTGGTCACGCTGTCATGTGATGATGACTGTGTTGCGGAGCTGTCTTAATGTATCACGCGTTAGGTGCACAGGTGTTGGGGGGCATTTTAAGCCCTCATGCACACGGGACGTTTTGATAACACTGGTAACATTAGCTGTGTAAAGTCACGTTAAACATAGTAGTTTTTCAGCTTTTTTCAGCGTTTTCTCGCATTTGCATTTTTAGCATTTTTTTTAGAGGTTTTTTTTTACAAAAAAAAAATTATTTTTTACTCAAAAAAATGTCCAAAAACACTAGTTTGCAGCATTTTTACAGCTAAAAAACTCCTCTAGAAATTTGCTAGTCCCGGGTTTTTTTTCCAGCCAAAAAAAACGTTGATTCCAGTCTATGTGTGTAAGGACACGTAGGATAACATGCTGGGGGGTTTACTGGCTGTAGGAAAAAATGTCAAAAGCCAAAAACAGCCGCTGTAAAAACGTCCCGTGTGCATGAGGACTTGTGCTGAAAAATGTGGTAAAATGCCGAAAAACTGGCGTTTTTGGACTTTTATTGACCAGAAAAAAATTTTGGGTTTAAAAAAAACACTAAAAAAATCCACAAACGTGGGAAAACGCAGCAAAACTTCACTAAATGCTAATGCAAAGATGCTAAAAAAAAAAGCTGAAAAACTCAGGTTTTTAACATGACTTTACACAGCTAACGTTACCAGCATTATTAAAACGTCCCGTGTGCACGAGGACTAAAAATGTCCCATGCGTATGAGGACTAAAAATCCCGTGTACAGGAGGTCTAAAAATGTCCCGTGTACATGAGGACTAAAAACGTCCCGTGTGCAAGAGGTCTAAAAACGTCCCGTGTGTGCATGAGGACTACAAATGTCCTATGGCCATGAGGACTAAAAACATCCCATGTGCATGAGGACTAAAAATCCCGTGCGCAGGAGGTCTAAAAAACGTCCCGAGTGCATGAGGACTAAACACGTACTGTGTGCATGAGGTCTAAAAACGTCCCGTGTGCATGAGGACTAAACACGTACTGTGTGCATCAGGTCTAAAAACGTCCCGTGTGCATGAAGACTACAAATGTCCCGTGTGCATGAGGACTAAAAACGTCCCATGTGCATGCATGAGGACTAAAAACGTCCCATGTGCATGAGGACTAAAAACGTCCCGTGTGCAAGAGGACTAAAAACGTCTAGTGTGCATGAGGACTAAAAACGTCCAGTGTGCATGAAGACTACAAATGTCCCGTGTGCATGAGGACTAAAAACGTCCCGTTTGCAAGAGGACTAAAAACATCCCGTGCGCATGAGGACTAAAAATCCTGTGTGCATGAGGTCTAAAAACGTCCCGTGTGCATGAGGACTACAAATGTCCCATGGCCATGAGGACTACAAACGTCCCGTGTGCATGAGGACTAAAAACGTCCCGTGTGCATGAGGACTACAAATGTCCCATGGCCATGAGGACTACAAACGTCCCGT